TACATTGCCCGGCAGCCCGCGGCCCGCGGGAAGTGGCGTCCGGCCGCATCCGGGAGCGCGGATCCGCCGGAGCGTGTTCCCTGCGCGGTGTGGCGCTTGCGGTGGGTCGCGGCCGGGCCGGGAGCGGGAGCTCGGGAGGCGGCGGCCGCGGCCGCCCGTGTGGCACAAACTGAGGCGCTTCTCTCCCCGCAGGTGCGGCCATGGCGGACTCCACGCAGAACGGGCCCATGCCAGGCGGGGCCGGCGGCGGAGCCGTGGTAAGGAGCTCCCGGGCCCGGGGGGCCCGGGCCGGCCGCGGTGCTGCTCCGGTGGATGGGGGGTCCTGCTTCAATGACAGCGAGGCACGGCTCGCCCTGGTGCGGGCAGGGCTGAGCGGCTCTCGTTTCCGATTGAAAGCCTGCTGTTCGTGTGCCGCCGCTCTTGAAAATGGCTGAATCGAAAGTGATTCTGTGTGGTAGCATAGGGAAAATCATCACAAGAATTCACAGGAATCCTCGAGTCCAGCGTGTAGCCCTACATAGGACACCGCAGAAGTCACGCCATGTTCCTGAGAGCATTGTCCAGACGCTTGAGCTTTGCCAGGCTTGGTGCTGTGACCGCTGCCCTGGGGAGCCTGTTCCAGTGCCCAGCCACCCTCTGGGTGAAAAACCTTTTCCCGTTAATCTAATCTAGCCTTGACACAGCTTCATGCCATTTCTGTAGTTGTTTTGTGCGAGTAAGGTACAAAATTATATTATGAAACTGCTTATAGGTTTCTGGTCATTTCTATAGAGATGCACTAGGAATATAGAGGAAAAGAGGAATCTTCAAAAGCTGGTCCAAATTTGGAAAAAAATATGAACTGTTTCAGATGGAAGGAGGTTATTGTTTTGACTCTGATGCACACATAACCAAAAGCATTCTGTTTCATTAGAGCCTTTCTGGCACTTTGGCTATATCAGGACTGAGGAGGGCTGTGGTTAGGGAGAGAGCTAAACAACAACAGTGGTGCAGGATTACTGTGAAAAGTTTTCCACTTTTTCAAATGATCAAACGATGCCATTTTCCTTGTAAGGTAGTTATGCTAACTTTACCGACCCTATATTTTTCCCCCTCACTAAGAATTGTGGAGATTTAGCCACAGGTGTGTGCAGTGTATTCCAAAAGAAACCTTGAAGGAAAAGTTAGTAAGGTCTAGAAATCCTACATGATAACATTTGTGAAACTGACTGTTTAGTGAGGCGTGTTTGTATAGAAAAACTATTTTTCTAGAAGTTCTTACCACTATATTTGTGTTTGATTGTAATTTACAAAGGAGCCTCTTGGTTTTGAGGAAGCTGACCTATTTTTGATCTGGCTAGTAACATCATATGAGCCAAGTATCACAGAACAAAAAAAAACCCCACAACTTTCTGCTTCAGGCTTAATTTCAAACTTACGTTTGAGGTTGGAGAAAGAGTTGCAATTTAATAGGGTTGGGAAGAAGTTCATTGTATGCAACTATTAAGATACCAACTTCTGTTTGGGCTGGTCTTTTTTTTTACTTTTTTTTTTTTTTTTCCAATGTAGCAATTTCTGATGGCTAACAAGTTGGATACAGCAATGTGGATTTCCCGCTTGTTCACAGTTTACTGCTCAGCTTTATTTGTCCTGCCTCTACTAGGGTATGTACTATAATATTGTAAACTAGCATTAGATTAGATTCCAGATTTCCTTTGCACAGAATTGTTTTTTCATGTAAGGTGAATTGCTGTTATTTAGCTTGCTTGGGTACTTTTTGTCAGAATAGCTTACAGATTTTAGATTGGTTTAAAACACTTGTAGATCTGTTTGGAAAATGTATTGAACAAATATAAAGTAGTGGTAAATGCATGTTTTTGTGTGTAAATGGAGTATTATATTGAGTTGTCTTAGGCACCTGCAGTAAAGTCAGTGTTAAACAGTACCTGAGTTATTTTTTGGCAATAGTGCTTTAGTACAATAATAGAAATAAATCAGGTATTGTTCAGTTATGATGCAATTCTCGAGGGTAGCAGACTTCTGAGCTTGGTTCACATGGTAACATCTCCTCTGATGATTTGCAGGTTGCATGAAGCAGCAAGCTTTTATCAGCGTGCCTTGCTGGCAAATGCTCTTACCAGTGCCCTCCGACTACACCAAAGGCTACCGCACTTCCAGCTTAGCAGGGTGTTTCTGGCCCAGGCCTTGCTGGAGGACAGCTGCCATTACCTGTTGTACTCCCTTATCTTTGTGAATTCCTACCCTGTTACAAGTATCCTTTTCTTGTGTCATCCTGCTAATGTTTTTAAATATATTAAAAACATGGTTCTTGTCATCACCTTTGCTATGATTTGAAAAACTAGTTTGAACTGGTTTGATGTTTGCTATTTATAGAACATACTCTGTGTAAAATATGAGAGGCTTACGTTGATTGATCCATATTCAGTTTAATCAGCTCTATAATTAGTGCACTGCATTCTCTGGCTACTTAGATTTTCTTTTTTTCAGGCTTAAGTTTGATGTATTTTATAACCAGCCTCCAGTGATATTTGGAGAAGTTGGTAATTTTCCTTTATTGCCAGTACAGGGTTTATACATGTCTTCTCACGGTAGCAAACATTCATCATGTAGAGAGAGAATAATTCAGTAGTAGCTTTCTCAGGTAAGTTGTTATCAAACCGATAAAGTCTGCAAAACACGCTCCTGTGGATTGTCAAAAGTGACACGTCAGAGCTGACATTACTTTATGCCACGCTATGTATGCTTAATCTTGAAGTCCTTCTGGCAGAGAAATGTCTAAATTCTTGCTCTGTAAAATCGGAATGGCTGGCAACTGCATGTTCTTTGGTAAAGAAATTAATTTTGTGGCATCTTTTAACAAAAAATATGACTCCATATATTGAAGTGGTTTTGAGTAGTAAGCTCATGTGCCTTCTGTGCAGAGAGAACACATTTCAGTAGATGTGCACTGGCGTCTAATGTTTTACATACTTGCAGACACCCATATTTTGAAGTAAATAAAAACACATAGCAAAGAGGTGTAAGAAGCAAAAAGAAGAGCTATAAATACAGGTCTTAGACTTACACATATCTTCATCCAGTATAGGTTATTCCAGCCAAACTTTTGCAAAGAGCTATCAAGCTATGACTGGTGTAGTATAACATCATGGTGAAATGAAGCACTTGCACAGCCTGTAATTTTCCTTATGTCTTGCTTCAGTGAGTATTTTTCCAGTTCTGCTGTTCTCTTTGCTTCATGCTGCCACATACACAAAGAAGGTTCTTGATGTAAGTATGATATGTATATGTTACAATTAATACAGTTGGTATTCTTGGGGTTTATAAGCAGGTTTAAGTTGCAGCTCTGGTTTGGTTTTCTTTGGCTGCACTAAAGGAATTAGCGTGAAACTGTGGTATGGAATCTCAGCACAGAATTTGAGAAGACTTCTTTGGGTTGGTTGTTTTTTGTGGGTTTTTTTTTCCCCTGCTGTGGCATATGTTGGAGTTGACACTATTTTTCTTCAAATGCTTTTCTTTGAAGGAAACAGAATCTGTGGAACAGTAAAGCTGAAACCTAAGAAGTGTCTTTTCTAAGTTAAACCACAGCCTGTGAATTTTATTGTTCCATTTCAGTAGTAAAGTAACAAAGTAGAGGATGAGACTAGCAAGCAAAATACTTGTCAGTTGGACTTGCTGCTTAGTGCACTGCCTTGTGCATCTTAACGTATCTCCAGGCTTTCGTGTTCCTAACTGGGCTGTCTTGCTACCGTGGGCACTTCCTTCTGGTGGACTGAACAAGGCTCGTGGCCCTCTCTGTGCAGTTGAACCTAAAATGAGGGAATTGCAACATCTGATACTTTTAGTTAAACTCTGTAGATTATGGAGTTCCAAGCCTGCAGTAGTTTTCCTTAGGATGTTAATCTCAAAACTGATGAAGTCTTAAAATGTTGAAATGGGTGGTATATAGCATTTGTTTGTGTTTTGTTTTCTGTGTGCTAATGAAGACAGGTGTAACTTTTATGTTTTCTGTAAACAATTTTTTTCTTCTTTAAAGGCACGAAGTTCAAATAGTTTGCCCTTTTTGAGAAATCTCTTAGAGAAACTGAATGCTAATCAACAGAATATTCTAAAATTCATTGCTTGCAATGAAATTTTCCTGATGCCAGCTACAGTTTTTATGCTCTTCAGGTAAGAATTATGATTAATATTTAAATATTTAGAAACTTGCTACACAAGACTGTTTTTTGCAAATGAGTTCTCTGTAGATCATAGTATTCCGTTTGTCTGGTTCTCGCTGACCAAGGCTTGAATTTAAAATAAAGTTTAAGTGATTCTTAGGCTTCTTAAGTTGGTGCATGCTGACATCAAAAGGCATTCACTATAATGTAACCGAGCACCAAAAAACCTTCCTTTTCATAGCGTGGGTGGTAAGTCACATGGGAGTTTTTCAGGCTTGAAACTTTAATTCGCCTACATTTCTATCAGTACATTGTTCAGTAAGTTTAATTTTGGTTATTTTAGGAGAATACTAAGATCCTCAGCTTCGCTGAAAATGAAGTCATATTTTTGGCAATTTGATTGCTGAAATTTAAATGGTAAAGTTTCATTATGCAAAAAGTGTGCATAAGCACACAAGCAGGAGTAGGTTGCATTCTCTCCTATGCTGCTTCTGAGCAGTGATCCTTCTGGGGTTTTTAAATTCCATTTTATTTTGCCTGCTGTGTGGCCTGTTGAATCACTTTAGGGATCTTGAACATGTTGGAATCCTACTGAAGTTGTATAGGCATAATGACCTGCCAGTCACAGAAGTTTGGGTCATTGCCTTTTAATATTTGGATGGGGAATGCAGCCTTTCTTCTATACAAGTTAGAGCATAGTGGGGACATTTGTCTTGAGTATTCTCATAAGCCATAGAAGGGAGGCTTTACCTTCTTGGATAGGATGCATAAGTTGTCTTTGTCTTTTGATATATTAGCTAAACATTTCAATGCTTCAGCCCTCAAGGATTGCATTTCATTGGAGATCACTTACCAGCTGACAGATAGGCTCTATCCAGTATCTGAAACTTTCAAGTGTTTTGGACTTAGGATAGTTTTTTGGTTTTTTTTCTTTT